ACACATTCTTGTTCAAAGTAGAGACCAACAGTTTTATAAAAACCTCGGAGAATTCCAGTAATCATTTCTAAGATATAACGGTTGAGATGTTTATCTAACAATTGGACAATTTTGTTTGTTACAACCGATATATATATATATATATATATATATATATATATATATATATATATATATATATATATATATATATGAAGAAATACAGTCTTAAGATGTGCTAGATTTATAGGATAAAATGCTCAATATCAGAGATAGAGTGTGTAAAAATAAAAGTAAACATAGAAGTCAACACTTAGGGCGACAGTCTGTTTCATGCTAGATGCAGTCGTCAGGCCTGACGATTGCATCTAACATGAAACAGACTGAAAAAAAATGACTTCTATGTTCTTTATATATATATATATATATATATATATTTGATATATATAAATGTTGACTTTTATTTATGTATGTATATATATATATATATATATATATATATATATATAAAAGACATTTTTATGTTTAACGTTGTTATTTATAGATAAAAATGTCTTTAATAAATAAATTGTCGGACCTTGTCCATTTCTTAACATATATATATATATATATATATATATATATGAAGAAATTTTGAAAAAACAAACAAAAATCCTTAAATGTAGTTAAAATGAAAGAAATATCTACGTCTGACGTTTCGGTTTAATAAACCTTTTTCAAGACAATATTCATCAAAATACAATTCAGTTCAATATGACAAATACGATGGACATAAAAACACAAGTCTTATTCAGAACAGATAACTGAAAATTTAAAAAAAAAAAAAAAATTATTGAACTGAATTGTATTTTGATGAATATTGTCTTGAAAAGGGTTTATTAAACCGAAACGTCAGACGTAGATATTTCTTTTTCATTTTAACTACATTTAAGGATTTTGTTTGTTTTTTCAAAATTTCTTCATTTTGTCAGATTTATATCCATTTACACTTGCTTATATATATATATATATATATATATATATATATATATATATATATATATATATATATATATATATATAAGCGCTTATTCAATCATTAATAGATTTAAGTTATAAAATGTATGTAAAAGGAAGGAAGAATTGAAACAGAAAGAGAATCCAAAGACAAAATAAGAAATAAATTAAAGCAGTTACTTGAAAAATTCGATTTTCTTAAACCGGTATTTTTTTTTTAACAAAAAGTTTCAATTTCAACTTAACAAAATTAGCTGCCTTCTACCAAATCTATAGATTTCTCCTTTTATCTGTCTATCCAACGATCATTCTCTCTTGTTCTATTTTTTCTTCTTCGTGATTTTATAATCCATTTCTGTGTTCATCTTGTTTATTTTCTTTCAATCTTTTTCGTATATAATCCAGTCTCTTTATTTTTTAATCAATTTCCAGAGGTAATAACTTTGTTTTCCTGTCACCGTTCGAGAAAAAAAAAAAAGCCTAAATAAAGGCTGAGAATATATCTTTCTCAGTGAAAGAATCGAGTATCTCTATTTTAAATACTAGCCGAATTACTCGCACCTTGCTGCGTATCAACCATTTTTGTAAGAAAATGATGATTGATTTTAAATCGTTTGTTATAATGTTTGAAGAAAAATGATACATTTCTATATTGCTCAGTGGTCTTGCCGATGTGACCTCCATCTTCTGGCTTTCTCCTTCTATATTTTGTATATGCTATCCAAGTTTATAGAACCCGGTCTGTCCTATTTACCCATAGGTGGAGGGAGAAGAAGAGGATTCATACATTTCCCAAGCACGTAAGTGAATGTAATGGATTCGACTGGAATTCGAACTCGGCTCTCCTCAATCCGAGCCGCTATCCATTACTCCACCGTGCCTCCGATTCCCGTAAGTCCGCGTAAGTAAAGAACGTCCCTCGTACTTTATACAAAAGAATAGTAAAAGACCAATCTAAAGGCATCAACAATAACTTCCTCTTTTACATTTGCAGCGAGAGTATCCCTTTGATATATATTAGATGCAATACTTGATTGAATGAATTGATGAGCAGATTTCAACATTGATATGACAGTTGAATTGTCGCAACAAATATGTATTATAAGACACTACCAACTGATTGGGGATTTCTTGCTCAACTTGACGTTCAAATAGTCTCATTTTGATGTTGCCGATGTGACCTCCATCTTCTGGTTTTTTCCTTCTATATTTTGGATAGGAGTCATTCCCTTGTTCAAATTTAAATTTAATTTAAATCAAAGGGAAATCATTTCAGTGGGTGAGGGTTGTTCCTCCCTTTGATCAAAATGAAATATACTTATCCAAGTATCTTGGGCAATGTAGTTTCAGAATATATATTGTTATGGGGTTCTATCTCCAAAACCCTAGGAGGAGTTCGATAACAAACAAACAGACAGACATAGGCTACAACTCTCTATATATAGTTATTTGCTTGAAATTAATTTTTAAGCAATATATTTTTGGGATGATTCGGCATTATTTCTTACTACAGTAAACGTTATATTTCATTAGTAAACCTGTTTTGGTAGACATTCCTGTAATTTCTAAACAGTACAACCCTTTGAGCATCAGAAGTCCTATTAAAGAAAAAGTGCTCGCTGACAGGAAACGAACCTTTTTTTTACAGTAAGGTTAACTCTGTACAAGGCTCGAGGCCACTCGAGGTAGAGGATTATGTTAAGGGGTAGTTTATATGGATAGGAGGGGAAGATAACGGTAAATTCTAGACTTGAACAGGTTAAGATTGTAGTGATCAGGGAAACATTCTCTTGGGGATATGTCCCACAATGCAGTGCTTCGCGGGAAGAAGCTGTTCAAGTGGAACTTACGTTTCGCCGATGGTAACCGGAGGTAATGTGAGTGTTATGGTGGGTCCTATTCAAACTGTGCTTTAACAATTCTTCTTCTATGTGCCGTGTCCCTTCAAGACGTTAGCGAACATGGACCTTTACTATTTCCTGTCCTTTGTAGCTCTTAATAACTTTTGTCTTTTTGCGGCTCGGACTGAGGAATCGGGAGCCGAGTTCGAATTCCAGTCGAATCCATTACATTCACTTAGGTGCTAATACTCTTGGGAAAGTTATGGGCCCTATTGTTCCTCTAGCTATGGGCAAATAGCAGGAGAGACTGGGTTCTATAGCCTTGGATGGCAACTGGTCTACCGCAGAAAGAAATGTCAACTGCGGGAAAAAAATCTGCCTTGTCTGTATCGTAAGATGCATGATCGCCTAAGGGTGTATCCACGCATGGCACATAACTGACTGCCGTTTTGACATCTTTCGCAAGCCCTGATTCGCCATCCATTTACTCGAGTTCGCCAGGAATATTTTTGCGTTGCTTTCCACTTCTCTGACCTTCAATCAGTCCTGTGAGTATCAAATTTTACAGGCCTTCTTTTCTCATTATGCACCCCAAAAATTCCAACTATTTTTTCTTGGTGCTAAGTATAAGTGTCCTTTTATTGCCATTGTCTCTAGAATTTCGTCGTTGCTCAGTTGTTCAGTCTATGGTATTCTCAGCATCCTTCTGTAGAACCTGTTGTTTCAAGTCCCTTCTTGAGTAGAAAGAGAACAGATCAGTTAGGAGGACAGTAGATAGTGATTGGATTTTAAAACTGGCTGGAAAGCATGGAACTGGAAGGGAGTTCCACAAGCGAGAAGTGTGCGAAAAGAAACTGTCAGTCTCGAAGTTAAGGCTACATATAGCTAGCTCAACTGTAAAATTGATGAGATCGCACCTCCAGGTTCATATTGCGCTTAAATTCATACAGTTTAGGTAACATAGTGAAGAACTCATCAAAAAGTATTTACAAAAAAAGGGCAGGAAGGCAACCTGGCAGCGGTGGGCAAGTGACTGAAGCCGAGCTGCCAGATTAGGAACAATAATATTGCTGATTCTTCTTTGGATCTTATCAAAGACCGCCAGATAAATAACAGGGACACTGGACCATATGTGGAAGCAATATTCTAAACAAGGCTGAATGTGATTTACTTATAGAAAAAAGATACCTGTTATTATTACTGATACGTGTGTAATTTCTTTTCATGCTTCCTCTTTAATTGGTAATTTTTATTTTTTATTTTCCTCAGTCGAGATCTGGCAAATGAGAAGCGATAACAAGTTAAATCCTTCCTTGCCCTTTTTTCTGTCTTTTTTCTCTCTACATTTTCACAAAATTCAAAGTTCAAGACTCATTCAAAATATAGAGTTGTCGCATGGACGTAAGAGGAGGAGGTAAGTGATATGTAGGAAAAATGATCATTGACCGTAGAATTGAAACAGTTGACCGTAGAAATGAAGATTGTTGGGTATCTATTCCGCAAAGAAGTTTCTTTCTTACCAATGGAATACTATAAGAAAGAGGATTATTCGATTTGTGTAGGTAAAATGGCGGGACGTAGATGTATATGTCTGAACTGTTGGATCTAACGAATGTAACTCGTCTGAACTTTTGTCATGGGAATAGGGAACGAGTATCGAGGGATGGCGACGTTTCGTCAGTGGAAAACGGACTGGAGGCTTGAAAATAATTACTCACACTTAAGTCCGCCTAAACACTTCTGAACTCTTCCTTGGTGAGGTAATCCAGGAAGTGGTAATGAGATTATCTCCAACCGGTTTATATGCGCACTGTCGATTACAAATCGGGGATACCAAGAACAACCAAATACAACAATTTAAATATCTGAGAAGTATTCTGACGCAAAAAGTGGGACCGAAATCCGAAGACGTATTTGGTATAGCCAAAGATGCCTTCCAAAAGCTAAGTAGAGTATTAAGAGATAGAAAAAGATCGTTAGAAAATAATAGAAAAGGGTATGGAACTATTACGTGATATCTGACCTACTGCATTGAATGCTCGACAATTTCCTCAAAGACGAAGGAGAGACTTGAAGCAACAGAAATATGGTTCTACAAAAGGATGTTGACGATATCATGGACTGAACATGGGTGCAACAACGATGTTTTAGAGAAAATGGAAACAAAAAGGAAACATGTTTAACAATAGGAAGATAGATCGATAGATAGATAGATAGATAGATAGATAGAGAGAGAGAGAGAGAGAGAGATTTAAAATGTCTGGGCTTGGAAAATTTGTTACTCACAAGACGAGGGGTAAGAAGAAAACAATGCATAACGTACTTGACGAGATTGAGAAAATGGGTGGCAAAACAGGATTTAGAAATAATGAAAATCCAAAATTTATTTAGACCTGCAGGGAACAGTAAACTGTCGAGATACACAACTAAGGGGACATAGTGCATAAGGAGAGATAGAGTTGATCCTCTTCCTCTCTCTCCCTCTCTCTCGCTTCCTCCTAGAAACACTGCCACTAATAAAATAAGACGAGATAAAAAAAAAATATCCATTGTTGGCGCACTTTATATAGCGTCGGATTCTAAAGAATTGAACCCAGAGATGACACGAAATGCAAGAGTAAATAATGTAAAATGGGTGCAGTATAAATCAGACTTCTAATCAACTACTGGATTAGACAAAATATCCGATCTATGTTTATCTTCAGATGGCATTAGGAGTGTTTAGTCTTAACTATAGCTTGGCTGAGATGTGTTCACTTGTCTGACATATTCAGCAAATATTGGTTAACATTTATTTTGTCCTTAATTTTTATCTTAAGTTTTTAAAAAGTACCCTAGAAGACTGCAAATTGCACTTCCGCCAGGTCCTTGCCGTGAAATATGTAGGAAGATGGAATTACTTGAAAGATAGTGAAACAAAACGGTAAAGATAATGTGCGATAATGTCGAAAAGCTTTTGTTCAATAATGGAGAAAAAATCGCTCAATGATATAAATAGAAAATTTTAAAAGGGTTTTTGTTCAATAATGTAGAAACGATTTTATTCTATAATGTTGAAAATGAAAATTGTTATTTCTTAAAAATTTTTTACTTCATCAGTCGAAGAAACTTTTACTTGCTTAATAAATCATGCTCCGTATATCATGGGTTACACTTAACAGATAAAAGAAAATTCCAATTGAATGGAATTTCTTTAAAGGCATAAACGGTTTTATGCTATTTGAAATTATTCATGCTTTATTATACTTATTTTCCATTATTTAAGAAAGGTTCTTTGTGTGATCTAATCATTTTATACTAACCTTCTTCCAGGTCTTTCTTTTCGAAAAAAAAATATTTTCCATTTTCCTTCGATTTTTTTTTTTTTTTTTTTTACCAACAAAAGAAATTCATCTACAGACTTAATTAACTTGGCATTGCCATATAAGGAAAGAAGTCTCACACTGGCGGGTTTTTCCTTTTATATTCTAACGAATCAAGTAAGCGTTGAAACGCTTTCTTCTACGTTTTTATCTTCCCGCCTTCTTTTGTTGTTATTTTTGTCGCTCATTAAATCCATCCAAATATATATATATTAGAGCGAATACCAAAGAAAGAAAGTGAAAAAAAAGAGCTTGCTCGTCGTTTATTTTCCATTATGTAACTAGTTGTATCTCCGTTGATCAAAAGGATGTGGTAACGAAAAATATGCAAAGAAACAAACCGAATGTTCTGGTGATCCTGCTGTATAGTTAGAAATTCCTGGTAAAATCCAAAGAAGGATCAGCAATATTATTGATCCTGACCTGGCGTCTTAGGTTCAGACACTTACTGTTAAGGGGTCCACCCCTTTTTTTTTATACAAGTGGACTCGCCCATTGTGTACTTGTATTGCTGTCGGTGAATACCCGGTGAGTGAGTGAGTGAGAGAGAGAGAGAGAGAGAGAGAGAGAGAGAGAGAGAGAGAGTGTGTGAGGTAACCGCTTTGTAGGAGTCACAGTTGCGAGCACGTAGACTCAGAAGGAAGTCATACTTCGATACTGAATTTCCCAGACTGTATATATATTATTATTGCTACTAACCGCATTTCTGGATCTATTAAACATATTACCAATTGTATTATTACGTCAATACATTTATTTGCTATATTTCATTCTTGCGTTTGTCATTCATTTGAGACCGGATTTCATCCCGGAATTCCCAACAAATTGGCGACGAGCGATTCGAACTCACACGGGAAGAACAAACAACAAAAAATTTTCCCTCGTCGTCAACAACACTTACCCACTTTGTTAATATATGCTTTCCTGTGGCTTTTAAATAAATAACTTCATGGTAATTGTTTGAATAAACACTCCGCTATGGTACCTAGGCGTTATGTATTCAATCGCAGCACTAGATTGAGAGCAACGTTTCATTAATTTACATTTAAATTGGCTAAATGCAGCTGTAAGTTCTATGCTAACAGTTTCTTTCCTAGCATTTATCACTTGTGAACTGTTCCGGTTCTATGCTTTCCAGCCAACTTTGACCTTAAAAAATAAATGCAATGTCAATCGTTATCTACCCTCATCTTCATTAACCTTCTAAAGCTAGAAAAAAAAAAACATATGTAAAGAGGAACTTAAGATTGGAAAATGATCAATAAACACTTTGTTTTCTCGTCACTTGCAGTCCCTTTCGCATAGATTCAATGTTGGAAAACTGTCGCTACTGCCATGGCACATGTTCAGACGAGCTCCCTTCTTTGGTGCCAACTGTTCAAATATTTACAGTCAAATTCTGCCTTTCTCCGTCCACGGGGGTCTAATCACCCTCATACCCTACGTAAAATGATATTTCCGCCCAGACAGTTATTTCCAAGAACCTCAATTTTGTGGAACAGACGCTTACGTGGACGCTTCCCTGAACACTACAAACTTAATCTCTTCAAGTCGAGGGTCAATCGTTATATATCCTTCATATCCTCATAATCTGCACCTCCTACTCCCCCCTCTTACATTCATATCACACGCCTCATTCAGTAACCCTCTACCTTCAGAGTCTTTTGAGCCTTGTATTGAATGAAAATAATTCTTTAAAAATAGATGTTTCGCCCCGAAATCTATTATTGCTGATCATTATTACTAAGTTAAGCAACTTCGAGCCCGGTCAGTTCCTAGATGGGTAACGGCTTGCGAATACCAGGTGCTGCAACATTGGATGCGCGGACGGTGTAATCGGAGAACCGAGTTCCAATTCCACTTACGCGCATACTGTTGGGATAGGTATGAATGCACCTCTTCTCCCTCAACTATGGGTTAAATAGTAGGACTTTTATCAGTAAATCACTATTACCCCACCAAAATTCTTACGATCCAAAAAATTTTATGACCTTAAATAACTACAAAAATATATTCTATGACTTTAAATAACTATTAAAAAAAAAAACAAATCAATTAATCAAGTGCAACTATACTACTGAGATCGATACTCATGAGGCATTCTGCTATTGTGGTCTTATGTCAGATTCAGTTCCTCTATGTAAATAAATAGATATCCTACATTGTCAGGATGATTAATAAGCTTCGCCTGGGGTGAACTTTATTTTTGAGCATATTCCGAAGAACGTCTGACAGTTTGAAGATTTTACATCCATCTATAACATTCTTCTGTGGACCTTTTCTCGTCTTGTCCTTTGTAGCTCTTTGTCAATTTTCTCTTTTCGCTGTCTCTCCTGATCTCTCAGTATCTGTCTATATTTCTGAGATGAGGTATTGTGTACACTATTTACATTGTTCGGACTATCATCCTCATCTTTGTGGCCATATTTACCACAGTGTTTCGGTCGCTGTACGCTCCAACCATTATTCACTGTGCCATGTGTCCTCAAGGACACATGGCACAGTGGATAAAAACGTTGGTTAGATCCAGTGACAGGACCCAAAAGCCAGTGAGTTCAATACATTGTTAAGGCGGTGAAGAACATGGAGAGGAGAATTAACAGGAGACAACTGATAACTGACATCCATTAGACATGGCACGTGGAACTAGAGCAGTCTATCCCAGCGAGCGAACTAAAGGGTTCAGTTCGACATTCCAACCAACTAAAGAAGGCCGGAGCGTACAACGGCCGAAACGTTGTGATAAATATGGCAACAGATATGAGGATGATTGTTCGAACAATGCAAATAGTGCTCCTGATCTCTGTTCTATCAACCATTTACACATACTCTTTGGTAAGTCATGCAGCTTTCCTCTGTCCCTCTTGGCTTCAGTCTGTCCTGTGAGTGTTAAATTTTCCAAGCCCTCTTTCCTTATGATGTGCCCGAGAAATTCCAGTTGTCCCTTTACACGTGTACACATGTCCTTTTTGCTTCTATTTTCCCTAAACCTTCCTCGTTACTCGTATAATTAGTCAATCGGATTCTCAAGATCCTTCGGTTGCCACGAGTCTCTTCTTCATCTGCATACTTTGTCCAGCTTTCACCCCCAAATAAAAAGACTGATATCATTAATGAGTAGATAACTTTAGTTTGTCTCTTGCGCATTCGCACTAAGATAGTTCACCCTTCAACGGATACAAGTTGTATTTGTTGTGCTTCAGATCACTCTGACAATGGAGGACCATAACAATCCTGATCGACACCTCATGATTTCTTATTTAAAAATAAAATCAAGCAAGAAAATGGCGTAAATCTGCAGGAAGATACACGCTGTGTATGGAGTGAGTGCTTCTAGGGAACGTATGAGCCAAAAGTGGTTTTGAAGATTTTCGATTGGGAAGTTTATTGGTTCAGGATGCACTTCGCTTTGACTGACTGAGATTAACAAGCGACAAAATGAATGAGTTACCCGACGCAGACCCCCGTTATACGACCAGGATTATCCAAATCGAGTGCTGAGAAGCATCTACCTCAGGACAGTGAGCTTTCTATTTGGGTCCTCCGTGAAATGAATGAGGCTAACCGCGCCCAATGGATTACCATCTGAGATTCGTTGCAGAAACAAGAAGGAAACGATCCTTTTCTGGGGAGAATGGTGACAGGGGACGAATAAAAGGATTGTCTATAAAATGCCACTACAAACAACCTCCAAACAGGACTCCAGCCGAAGAAGGTTATCCCTTCAGTTTGGTGGGATTAGAAGTATGTTGTGTATTACGATTTTCATCCCACAGACAGGACCCCCAATTCGGATGTGTATTAGCGGCTCGGATTAAGGAATCGGAGAGCCGAGGTCGAATTCAGTCGAATCCATCTCATCCCCTTACGTGAAGATTTTACATCAATCTATAATATTCATCTATGGACATTTTCTCGTCTTGCCCTTTGTAGTTCTTTAATTTTGTTTTTTCGTTGTATCTCCTGATCCTTCAATATATGTCTATATTTCTGACGTTGCTCTCCATCTAGTGCTGCGATTAAATACATAATGCCTTGGAAAAGGTATGAATCCTCGTCTTCTTCCCCCAGCTATGGTTAAATAGCAGGACAGATCGGGTTCTGTAGCCTTGGATGGCAACTGGTCTACCGCAGAAAGAAATGGCAACCTACACCAGGAAAAATCTGCCTCGTCAGTCATGTATCGAAAGATACATGATCGCCTAAGCGTGTATCACGCATGGCACATAACTAACTGAAATTTACTTACGTGCTAATACCCTAGAGAAAGGTATGAATCCTCCTCTCTCTCCCCAGCTATGGGTAAATAGCAGAACAGATCGGGTTCTATAGCTTTGGATGGCAACTGGTCTACCGCACAAAGAAATGGGAACCTATTGCAGGTAAAAAAATCCGCCTCGTCAGTCATGTATTGAAAGATACATGATCGCCTAAGCGTGAATCAAGCATGGCACATAACTGACTGATTGTGACCAGCTGGACAAATAAACGCAGCGATTCACCAGAATGTCCAACACTCGTTAATCGTAAGGGCATTTCATTTCATTACTACAATGCAAAACTGCATAGTAGACGCAGCATAATTTACTGAGGCTTGTTTATGAATTTTTTGCCGCACGCTCTATAGTCGCCGACCTTGCGCCTTCAGAAATTCAGCTGTTTCGATCTCATTCATTGACTAGGCAGACCTTCAATTCTAAAGATGTAAACATTCACCTGGTAGAGTTTCCCACCAGAAAAGATAGGAAATTCTTTGTGCAGGGAATAATGAATCGAGAGGACAGACGATACTGGAACGAAATGGTAATTATATTATAGATTGAATAGGCTTTGGTTTTAAAACTTGTTTTCGCTTATAAAACTGAAAGAACTTTTCGGTCAACCCATTACATAACAGTTCGGTGTTTCTTTCTTTATTTCTAACGGAATTCTCAATACTTTGCTTAGCTTTTTGAGGGCATCTTTCACTATGTCAATGGCCCTTCAAATTTCGGTGTCACATTTTCCATCCACTGTTTCCTTCCCAGATATTCAAATTTTTCTATTTGCTTTATTTTGGTAACTCCAGTTTCTGGTTCGTAACTTGGGCACCAATACAATTTTCAAAACATCATTTAAAATGCTATGTTTAACTTGAATTTAAACACAGTAAGCTTGAAAATTAATGTCATTCAACCACTCTCGATCGGACCGTTCTTGATTTCTTTTTATCTGGACGCCTAAATATAACTGCATTACCTTTTTCTTGTACCTCTGGTTTCGACTGGGAAAATGTCACACCGACACTCGACCGTCACATCAGTATTTGACAATATATATATATATATATATATATATATATATATATATATATATGCTATATATGTATGCTAAAGAATGTAGCTCGTCAGAATACGTCATGTAAATATTTATAAATACAGAAGAAAAGTAACTAACCAATAGTAGAAAAAAGAAGAAAAAGAAGACGAAGAAGAAAGGAAGATGAGAAAGAAGAAGAAGAGGAAGAAGAAAGAAAGAAGAAGAAGAAAAGGAGAAGAAGAAAAAGAAAATGGGAGAAGAAAAAGAAAAAGAAGTAACAGAAGAATGCTGATTCTGAAAAAATGGTATTTGAACACAAGATTCGAAAAACGAACTGGAGACAACAAAATGAAGCAAGTAGAAAAAATTGAATATTTAGGAAGGGTTTTTAACAGGGGACTGAAAATACGGCACCGAAATCCGAAGGCGCATTGGAAGAGTGAAAGATGCTTTCCAAAAGCTAAGCAATGCATTAAGCAAGAGGAGAATTCCGTTAGAAACAAAGAAACAAGTATTGAATTGAAAAAGAAGACGATTATGACAACGACGACGAAGAAGAAAAAGAAGAAGACAACAACGACGACGCAGAAGAAGAAGAAGAAGAAGAAGAAGAAGAAGAAGAAGAAGAAGAAGAAACAGCGGTAAAAAAATAAATAAATCGATGTTGGTAAATAAATACCAGATTTCGCGTCCAAGTGCAAAAGTACATGGCGTTACGTTAATTGAAACCACAAAACTGAACAAAAAATGAATAGATAAACGGACATCCAATTCTCGCGAGATTTGCCAACAGCTTCCGGACAAAAGGGAAACTATTTTTCTATCAGTTATGTTACATTTTGATTTTATCACGATCCTTCGACTTCATTGTTGCCTGCTGAAGAACAGCGGTGCTTTCAATCAGAAACGCGAAAATGGGAAAATATACCACCATCTTGGAGGACATTTTGAATTGCTGACCAGTGGCTATTCAGGACTGGTCAGTGATGAAGAAAATAAGGCTTTTCACGCTGCTGTAGTCAAATTGAATTTTTGCTTCGACTGGAAATTCATTATTTTCGTTATGAAAAGGTGCATATTTGAATGTTGGGCTTATTGCAAGAAAGGGATCTTCAAGTTAAGTAATAAAAACAAAAAAGTTAATGATTTTTTCTGAAAATAATAAGTAAAAGCAATACTTGTGATATATAGGTTGATATATATCAAACTATATGTCATAATAGCTACCTTAAGTAAACAACACACAGATACCATCTAACATTCAGATTTTAAAAGGCTACCTTAAGTACAAAACACATAGATACCGTCTGTCTCAATGATTTTGAAAGGTTAATTTAAGTACAAAACACAAAGATACCATCTGACTCTTAGCTTTCAAAACACTATCTGATGCACGACGCACATAAATACAATGTGATTGCCATATTTATAAACTAACTTAAGTACAAAACACACAGATAAAATTTGCCTCACAGAATTTAAAGAGATGACATGCAAAACGCATATATACCATCTGCCTCACGAATGTTAAAAGCTATTTTAAATACTTATACCGGATGTAAAAACAAAATTGTCCACATCGTGTAACAGCAAAATTGTCCAATTGTTAGATTAAGCTTTGAACTACTGTATCTTGGAAATGATTAAAGATATCTTATTAAAATTCTCCGAGTTTTTTATGACACTATTGGATTCTACTTTGAACAATAAGAATGTATAATTATTCTCTAAGATTAATAGAAGAATCGTGATGAAATCGATTATAAACTATTGAAATAAATTTCATATATATATATATATATATATATATATATATATATTTTTTCAACTCATCCAAGATGATCTTGGTTCACTCTAAACCTCTAAATTATTGCTAGTCTCACAGGTTTCATGTACGATTTCATTTTAAAAGGTTTTTTTTAACTGCTCTTTGAATTGTCATTGCTGAAAGTCTTTTCTCACGTGCCAAACGTCTTATGAATTGCGTTGGATCTTTTCTAGCTGACCTCTTTAGGTCTAAGTTGAAATCACGACCTTCTGATCTAGTTTTCCTCTCTCTACGGTTCCCTCTTTTTAAAACTTATTCACCGTTCTCATGGCGGTTTTTGAATGAATTTTGAAGACGAAAACCAGAATAAAAATTTTGGTACCATTAATGAAGACTTGAATGATCTTTTTCCTCTCAACATTGCTCAGTTGAAAAGACAGTAATGCTGGCAGAAAACGATTTTAACCTGCTCTCTTCTTAGCTGAATGACTCAAAAGATTCTCACAAAAAATGGCGTCAAGATGGCTAAAACGTCTTATCTGAAAACCTGGAAAAAAAGAAACTCAATTAGTTTTGTGTTTTTTTTTTTTTTTTAAATATCAGACATTTTGTAGGATAGACAATTATGCTGTTACAAGATTTGGACAATTTTGCTGTTACACCCAGTAGGTGACTGCCTACATACAGATACCATTTGACTCTCTGATTTTAAAAGACGGACTTAAGTACAAACACATAGATACCAAATATCTCACATATTTTAAAAGGTTAAGAAGAAAAAGAAGAGCCTATCGTAAGTACAAGACATATAGACAACATCTACCTCACAGATTTTAAAAATCTACTTTAAACAGAAAACATATAGGTACCATCTTACAGACAAATCTTGAAAGGCTTCATTAAGTACAAAACACTGTGTCTGCCTCACAATTTTTCAACGGCTGACGTAAGTACAAAAGCATGTAGATATCACTTGCCTCACATATTTTAAAAGGCTACCTTATATGAAAACACATAGATACGATCTGCCTAACAAATTTTAAAAAAACTATTATAAGTACAAAATACATAGCTACCATCTGCCTTACATGTTTTAAAAAAGGTTTAAAATGCAAAACACATAGATATCATCTGACGCTCAGATTACAAAACCTATAGATACCATCTGATCTTCCGATTTTAAAAGGAGACCCTAAGTATAGCGATTTTCTAAGCTCGGCTTAGATATGGTACAAGGCCGAAAGTATGAAGTAGCTAGTGAGGATCGAACTCATTATTCAGTCGTAATTGCTCGAGCAAGACAATCTTTCTAACCATTATGCCAGATAGAGGTGCACAAGAGCCCTTCAGTATAAGCACATAAATATCAAATGTCTCAAATTTTAAAAGGCTATGAAGAAGACAAAAAAAGAAGCTATTTTAAAAACAAAACGCATAGATACCATCTCTCGCCCAAATTTTAAAAGACAGCTTTATGTTCAAAATACAAAAATAACATCTGACTTTCATATATTAAAAGGCAAAGAAGAAGAAGAAGAAGAAGAAGAAGAAGAAGAAGAAGAAAGAGGAAGAGGAGGAGGAAAGAAATAATAATAATGATGCAGCCTATATTCACTTAACCTGGGAACGAGGTTTTCGTTCCGAATTTGACTATAATCCAGTATTCTAACCACTTAGATATACCAATATCTGCAACGTTTTCTTTTTTGTTACGTAAGTATATGTGCAGAAGAAAGCACGCGTCTTTTTATTGTTTTTGTTGCTGTTTTTTTTTTATTCTTTCTTGCTATCTTAGTCGTGACTAAACCTATTTGGCTACTTCACGCCCTGTTGAATAACAAACGGCAAAGATGGTTTGTAAATTCTCTCATTAACTGTAGGTAGGCGCTATCCTCTCAAGACTACGATAGAAAAAATTCTTTCGTTCCAGAAAAAAAAAAGAAGAAATATGTTTTATACTTCTTTTTCTGATCACTTTATGATTTCACTTTGTACGTTTTTTTTTATTTCGTCATTGTCACATAATTTTTTTCGTTTTACTCAGCACTTTATTTTATTCTCAACTGTTCAATTTATTTCTGTTTATCACCCGTTGACAGTCGTTTCGTTTCATTTTTTTTTTACCGTCTTCTCTTCTTACATATTCCCTCTCTTTCTGCATTTGTATGTATTTTAGTTTATTCTTATTTATCTATCTCAATTTGTTCATATCTATCTATATCACATTTTTTCACATTTATTTCCTCATCCTTCTTAGAATTTCTGCAATGATTTCCCCATCTTTTATTCTTCTACTTCTTTCCGATTGTTCATTCTCTTTCTTCATATCTCATTGCGGCCTCCTTTCTTAGATTGGTTACACGATATATTCCATCATCGCTGATCGAACCCAGAACTATCACGATTCACAACGACGAACAGATGTTTCCTCATGGAGGGTCTAGCCTTTGAGAGCCCATTGTGACTTAAACTCAACCCAGACCTCAAGTGGAACTCATATGCATAGTATTTGGGGTTTGACTTTTAGCCAATAGTTGGGAGGACCTGGGAACAAATCTCTTGTTTTTTCTCTCTTTTTCAAAATTCTTCTCTTTCCTCATTAAAAATGCATTGTTGCTAATTTTACTATAAATATGTATTATTACTATTTTCCCATAAATATGTATTGCTGCTACTTTTGCTATAAAAATGTATTTTCCTACTTTCATAGTATATGGGGTTTCACTTTTAGCCAATAGCTGGGAGGACCTGGGAACAAATCTCTGGTTTTTACTATCTTTTTCAAAATTCTTCTCTTTCCTAATTAAAAATGCATTGTTGCTAATTTTACTATAAATATGTATTATTGCTAATTTTTTACATAAATAAGTTTTGCTGCTACTTTTACTATAAAAATGTATTTTCCTACTTTCATAGTATATGGGGTTTCACTTTTAGCCAATAGCTGGTAGGACCTGGAAAAAAGTCTCTTGTTTTTTCTCTCTTTTTCAAAATTCTTCTCTTTCCTCATTAAAAATGGATCGTTGATAATTTTACTATAAATATGTATTATTACTATTTTTTTACATAAATATGTGTTGCCGCTACTTTTACTATAAAAATGTATTTTCCTACTTTCATAATGTTTGGGGTTTCATTATTAGCCAATAGCTGGTAGAAACTGGAAAAAAATCTCTTGTTTTTCCTCTCTTTCAAAATTCTTCTCTTTCCTCATTAAAAATGCATTGTTACGATAAATATGTATTATTACTATGTTTTACCTAAATATGTATTGCTACTACTTTTACTATAAAATGTATTTCCCTACTTTCATAGTGTTTTGGGGTTTCATTATTAGTCAATAGTTTTACATATAGATAACGGAGGTAACAGTAGCAGAAGTCTTGATATATGGGATGAGTTTTTAACAGAAAATATGACACTGAAATCCGAACATGCTTTAGAATTTCAAAAGATGTTTTCCAAAATGTAAGGAATTAATAAACAAAAAAATTCAATAGAAACAAAGAAAAGAATTCTGAACAGTTATTACCTAATATCGGTCCACCTATAATGCAGTGAATGCTGGAAAATCTCCTCTCAGATGAAGAAGAAACTCGAAGCAATATAAACGTGGTTCTACAGAAGGATGATGAGAATACTACGGATGAAACGTGCAAATAAAGAAGTCTTTAAGAAAACGGAAACAAAAAGGACACTTATACTCAGAATCAGAAAGAAACACCTAAAATCTTTTCGAGATAATGAGAAAGGAGGTCTTAGAGAATTTGACACTCAAAGGACATATCGAAGGTAAAAACGGGGGCATCTCGAGGCGGTGTAATGGTTAACAAGCTTGGTTCGCAAGAACAATTACGACTGAGTAGTGAGTTCGATCCTCACTGGGTACCCCCTAATTTCGGCCTTGTGCCACATCTAAGCTACGCTTGGAAAATCACTAT